AAGTGAAGGGCCAGGGTAGTACTCGAGATAGTGTGCAGATGCAGGGTCTGCGTGTGATGGAAGGAATCAAGATGGAAGTAGGCTTGGTGCCTGGAGACTTAGATGAGTGAGGCTAGTAGTTGGAATCGTAGGGATTTTAAAGGAACCCTTAGTCAGGGAGAAAAGTGGGAAGCAGTCTGGCAACAAGTATGTCTAGAAGGGAGAATATGAGTAAGCTTTTATCTCTAGTCCCTTTTCTGAGACCATGAATATAGTCATGTTTATCATGTAGCTTCAACCTGTTTCCCTTTTCTTTGGTGATATTTCTAACCTAGTCATGAGTTATGGAGTCTTGAGTGAAGGGCAGGAGAGTAAAGTTGAGGGTGCTGATATTCATCTCCTCTCTGTGCTTCCAGGAGGTGGGGGTTGCAGTTGGGGAGTCCCAGGGCTGTAGCAAACATGATTGTCCACTGGTGCCCAGGAAAGCAAGGGATTCAGAGATGAGATTGAAATTCAGAAGGCAAATGTGAAACAGATCATTTTTCAGGAACATTTGGTGGAGGGAGGGGGGACGGGTAACTCCTCCTGGAGGAAGCAAGGAAAGCTGATCCTGACAGTACAGAGGGATTGGCAAATCATGTTGGCGTAACGTAACAACAAAAAGTGTAATTGCTGCTTAACTGCAAAAAACATATATTTAGTCCAGTTACAGAGGGAAAGTTGAAAGACACAGTTTTCTCCCTATGATTGTCTTTTTAATGGAATCAATTAAAAATAACTTTAAAATTCAGTTTCAAGTGATTTAAGTAAAAAAAAAATGAAAGCATGCAAATTTGGAATAATAAGTTTAGAGAAGTTTGTGATGATTTTAAAGTTCTAGTTTCAACCTGTAGAGATGTCTCAGAAATCTATGCTACTATTTTCAGTTGAGCAACTTCCTTCAGATTATTCCCTTATGAGAGCACCTCATAAAGGGGCCATCTCATTCCCATATCTTCACTCTAGGCTGGTAATTTGTTTCCTCCTGCAGGCTTTCTCTCTGGCATTCCATAATGTTGTATCCTTAACAATGGAATTGTGGCTGGCCCAGAGAAGGCACCTGACAAATGTGTGGAATGACTGAGGGAACCAGAATCCCTTTGTAAACAATTCTAATGGAGACACTCAGCTTAAAAAAAAAAAAATGCTCAAGGCAAGAGTTCCATACAGGGAGGCTAGCTGCATCCCTTGATGTTGGCACTCCACAAGTGCATTGGTCCCAGAGTAAATAGAAGGTGTAATGTCATAAAATAATACTAACAATTAAAAGGATGGAAAACAAGCTTTCAGAGTAAAATGATATTTGCAAATCTTAACCATCTAACTGAGCGATTGCACTGGGAGGTACAGAACCTACAAAACACCACAGTAAGAAAAGGCAAAATGTATTCTGCAGCTTCATGTAGATCAGGAGCATCACAAGCTACTAGAAACATGTCCACAAATACAATCCTGATAGGGAATGTTACAGGGCTCAGAAATCAAACCCTAAATAAAATTAGTGACGAGACACCCACAACTACACAAAGGTTTTTGCAATAGACATGCAGGTGGATTTGTAATATGAAGTCTATATTGATTCTTAATAAAAGCTTCCCTAGTTGTCATTGTCATTTATTGAATATTTTTAATTGAGTGATAATGCATATCATGAATTGGTCAATTCATAAACTGAATATAGTTACTATTGACGTAAGGATTTTGCAAATCTTTATATTTGTTTATCTGTCCATATGCTGAGAAATGATGTGTGCAACTCTACAAGTTATCACCAGGATATCAGGATGAGAACTATGCAAGGTGTGTACAAAGCTGACATAATATGTTTCACTAAAGTGGCCTCTCAAAGCAAAAATAATAGGATAGAAGCCAGATGGGGTCTTGGTTCTTAGAGAAAGCAGACTGGGTTTGTAACACATTTCTGGAGAGTAGTTTCTTAAGAGCTCAAAGTGTAACTGGTTGACATTATATTCATTCCATTATAAGAACTGAAATAAATGTTATGTAAATGTTGGAAATAAATCTCTATCATAATCACGTAAAGGGCAGTAATCCAGAAAACTGTCAGGGATCTGAGGGTTAGAAATTTTACATCTGACGCCCAAACAACACTGGCCTGACATCATCTGTAGCTGTGATCTGTACATGTGAAAAGCTCTATGATGACACAGCTACAATATCCAGACTTCAAAGTATACTTAGATTCATATTTTCAACTATTATAGGAAAATGTATGAAGGAAACAGATCATCTAAACTGTGAATATGGAAAAAGAAAGGTCTTCTTTCAATATATTCATTTCAGTGTTATTTGAACAGCAACTGGATATTTTTAGAGAAATGCACAAACTTTGAGTCCACGGTTCTAAGAATTCACAGCTTCCTGTTTAAAATACCTTGTTGACAAGCTTGACAGGCTGTTGTTTCTGTGTGCATCTCTGATAACACCATTACTATCCTGGTAGATTATCAATTCCTTAATGGAGAGGCCTAATTCATTTTTGCAAGTCCATAACTGGAGAATTAGTTACATATTTTAATTTTTAATTCTTTATTCTATTAGTTGAACTGCCACTATGTGCATGGTCATGGGCTAGATGTTGTTAAGATAAAAGAATTTAATAAGGTACTGAAGGTGTCTGACTTCAAGGAAAGAACTGAAAGGGGGTGAAGTTGGATGTAGCAGGAGGTGAGGTTAAGAGAATGAGTTAGAATAAATGTCTCGGGCAAAGGGTGAATTGGTGGTGGGAATTTCAGAGGGATTACACCCAAGGTGATAAAGCATACAGTGTATAAAAATGAAGAATGATATAAAAGTATATAAAAAAATTAAATGCTATGGCAAGTACAGTGCATTTTATTAATTTCTTTGCAAGGAAATTATATCATAAATCTAATGAAAAATTTCCATAATTCTAAGTACATGCCATTCTTTGAAAGTGTTTGAATTATACTCCTCCTTGGCAGTTGAATTATTTTAGATGAAATTTAATATTAAATATGAAAAAAACCTTAGTTTTTCATAGGCAGAAGTACAAGATTATAAGGATTCAGGTTGCAGTGACAAATTTTAGTAGTTTCTATCCACCTTACCTTGGCCACCTCCTCTTGGAAAGCTACAAGGTTCAAATGGGATATGTTGACTAAGTCAGGTCCATACACCACTGTTATCATGCGATGTTCCAGGCGTCCAATGTTTCCCACATCCAAAAGTTCTCGTAATTTGGGGTCCTAGATAATAAAGGTTGAAAAAACTTAGTATATGAACAGAGTTTCCAACAAAGCAGCATAATCTCGATAAAATTATGGTTAAAATTACTTCAAAATGAAAAAAAAATGACTTCAAAATGAAGTTACTTGATTCTTACTAGGAAATCATATGAATTGGAGTCTTTTACCCAGCAATGACCCAGAGGTGAAATAATTTTCCCAGAGATCATACAGAGAGAATATATGTCTTCGGATGTATGGTCCTACAAGCCAGAGAAAGCTTAATACTGAGTAGTAGCATATGTAGCATATAGAATCTGTAAAAGTTAAACTCATAGAAACAGAGAATAGAATATGGCTGTTTAACACTAGGGGGTGGGGAAGTGGAGAGATATTGATCAAAGGGTACAAATTTCCAGTTAGAATATGAATAAGTTCTATGGGTCCAAGGTAGAGCATGGTGATCACAGCAATGATATCCCTGGGAGAACCCAATAGCTCTAAATAATTCTATGGCAAAAAAAAAAAATGAACAGTTATTAGATGATGCAGTGATACAGTTGTCAGCTAATGCTATGGTGTTAATGATTTTATTGCTGTTTATATAAGTACCAAAGGAACAAGTTGCACACCTAACTCTACATGATGTTCTCTATCACATATATCTCAATAAAATTGGGGGCAAAGACTTAGGTCCTTAGTCAAGAGCTCTTTCTGCCATCTTGTCATTCAGTAACACATTTGCATATGCCACAATGCTCTCTCCCTCTATTTCCTTCCAATTGCCCCATGCATCACATACTGAAATGCAAAATCTCACCCTTTTCCTCAATTTATGGAAACATTCACATAATGATGGTTGTCATCTAATTAAAGCAGAACAACATCATCTAGAGCTGGAGTAGAAATACACCTGCTTCAGAGCAAGGATCTTCTCTAACACTGAGTGAAAGTGGGAAGAGCTGGATTGATCAATTGAACAAAATGGCAGCACTTGTCATGACCATGCTATTTTCCAGGATGTACTGTGATTTGGACTTAGAGAAGTTTTTCTGTCTTTTCAGAGCAATTTCACACTTTGGGATATTGTCAATGAGGATTCCTTGGAGATAAATTTCTACTGAGAAAAATGTAACCACTGAATTCAAGTACCTAAAATAAGGTTCATTTAGCTTGACAGAATTTATTTTTTTCTCATAGAGCCATCTTGAAAGGAGTTAAGATCCAAAAAGGAAACTGGCATTAACTCAATTAGTTTGGTACTTGGCAGCCAACTTCTAAATTAGGAATGAACTTGTATTTTTATTTATTTAGATAAATGTTGGGTAAACAGGGGCTAATTATTTGGACTGGTTATTTTGATTGCTCATGTGAATTTTTTATACACTGCATACTTACAGAGTAAGAGTGGACTAAAAAGACAGGAAAAAGAAAGCAAAGAAACAAAAACTTCCCATGACGTGGTGTGATTCTCTCTCTCTCTCTTTTTAATTCTTTCTCAATCAAGTTTTCTCCTTTATTTGATGGTCTGAAGAGGAACATTTTCAGTAAGTTATGAAGAGAGAAAATCATATTTCAAAGCTATGTCCAATATAACTAAAACTTCAAATTGACTAACAAAATTATCAAGTATTTCAGGCCTCCTATTGGAAAAATATACCCATTTTTCTGACAATGCAATAGGATAGATCAAAGGCCATCAAAAACATCAATTTACCTGCCTAGAAATGGACAGAAGTACAACAAAAAAGTTATTAGATAACATGTTCAGGAAAATGGACTTATTACGAAGACTAAATCATGATAACATCTGCTCTGTGAAATGATTAACTATGTCACAGTTTTTAAACACAGTTTTTAAATCAGTGACACAGAGTCCATCAATACTTCATTTCTACAACATTTCAATGGGGAAAAAATGGGAGAATTCTGAAATTTTGTTTTCCTTCTAATGAGAACCACATAACACATCCTCTGTCACTGATTCTCTCTCAAGCATTTTCTGTTCATTTGATTCTATTTGACTCCCTAATTCAAATGTCCATTCAAAAATATTTTTGTCCACTTATTAAATAGTTAATTGATGAGTGTGCCACCTCTCAACACTGCAGGGACTATGTGTTGTGATCAGGCGTACATTTGAATTATCCTTGAGATAAAAACTAAAAGTAAGTAGAGAACACCCAGAGGAAGTACCCAGATTAGAAAATAATTCCAGAAAACTGCTCTGGGGTTAATTTCTACTGCCCTTACCAGTATTCTTAGGTATAGTTAATAGGAATTTATAAGATGATCAACCCTTTGAGATAGTTTTATAAAGTCTTTCCACTAGTGATTGTTTATATATTTATATTTAAAAATTCTATTGGTCATTAGGTAATTAGAAAATTGGGGGCTAAGTCACTGTACTGGGGGTGATCTTATACTATCAAAACACTAGCAAAGATATAATATAATGGTACTTCAAGAACAATAAAATTAAAAGAAAATTGAGTTACTCAGATGTGGTTTCTGGGATTTTGTAGATAAAGCTGGCAGGCAAATGATGATGAAAATTGAATCTGAGGGGTATACTTAAAAAGATATGTGTCCTGGAAAAAGGTACAAAATGATGTAAAAATAAACTACTATATTCTTAAAAAAATAATATTTGTCCTTACAGGTATAAAAAATTTCCCTCGGTTGTTTTCAGCAGAGGAAATCCTCAGAGGATAGCCAAAGGGGGAATTATCTGAATTATCAGTAAGGATAAAGAGCAATGGAATGGCACCGCTTTTGGAGGACCTTAAAGGTGAAAGAAACACAATGGAATCAGATAGCTTGAAAATGACTGTTTCACCAGTCTCAGTTCTGAGGATATGAATGGCTTCATTTCAAAACAGTAACAACAAATACTGACCATTTGCCTGAAAACCACCTTTCCCTCCCACACCTGTTTTGCTAAGGCATGTTCTGATGTTTCTTATGGATGGAAACTCCTGATCAGTTTTCAGACATGCACTTACCTATTCAGATTACTACCAACTCCAACACATTGCTTGATCCCTGCATATATACTAATATATATTAGTATATACTTATATATATCAACAAATAAGTATATATAATGCTTATATATTACTTACTTATAATACTTATATAATATATATTATATATAAGTACATATAATACTTACATATAAGTTTATAGAATATATATAATGCATATATATTCTATATACTAATATATAAATTCCTTGAAATTTTTAAAAAAGGAAAAAAAGCTATCTCCAAAACTCTGTAAAATTGTTCAGTTTTTCTTCTGGAGAACACTGCAGAATAGATCTCAGGAAAAACAAACAAACAAACAAACAAAAAACAGGTAAGGTGAACTCAGAATTTCTTATTTTCATTAAGCTGTAACTCAAGACTTGCTTTTCTAGCAATACCCCGGATAAGCTGCCACACTTGGAACTAACCAGACTAACTAAGAATCCTGGCAGCTATAATTTAACTGCACTTCTAAAGTTAAGTCCTAGCTCATCTCTATTCCCATCTGACTTAAAAAACAGATACTGGCTAAATAAGCTCACTTTCTCAGAACCATCAGGATTCATGATTAAATTGCTTCATGTCTGTTGCAGCAAAGAAAGTCAAACAGCTCAAGGTAGTGATTCCCTTTTCCAGATAAAAAACCACTGAAGAGGGCTCTCCCTGACGGCCCTACAGGTTAAAGCACCACATTATGAAGCTCTCCAAAGCTACTGCAGCATGAGTTCAATCCCTAGCCAGGAGCTGATCCACATGACACAACAGACCTTTCCTGACCTGCCCGCTGCTCCCCTCAGCAGTGTACTTTGTCAGTCTGCCTGTTTTGCTCCCCACTCTGTCTCCAGTAAATCCTCTCACCACCCCCCCCCCACACACCTCTGGCCTATGCCCCAGTTCTGTAAGCATAAATAAAAAATCTTAAAAGAAAAGTGTCCTTAAAAAAAAAAAAAGCCACTGAAGAAAGTAAAGAGTGTTCTGTACATGAGACACAAGGAGTCCTTTACAGTATATGCTACTATAATTATATTACTGAAATTATTAGAAATTAATGGAAGGAATAAAAACAATCTAAAGGGTGATTTTTAAAGGCACTAAATGCCATTTATACCTACCCCCTTAAAAGAAATGCTCATTCCTTGAAAAAAATGTTTTATATTTGCAAATGAAATATCTGTGAGACATTTAGATCTTATTTTTTGGTTTGTATTTTTTTTTAAGGCAACACTATTTTACAACATTCAATATGATTTAGGATTAGATTTCATTCTTGACACAGAAGCACTTTGTGTAGAAAATAATGACTTACTCATTTTTTATCCCCTTGAAATATGTATTTCTTTATAGGATTTTAGGCTTACTGAGCAACTTGAATATTAGGTTCATTTTATTTCCAGCACTTAATGCAGTATTCTCAATCTGAATCACATTTATGTGGATGTAACTTTAATTCATCACTCAGATAAAGGAGCTGGTATCTGAAAGCTTTTCTATTAACAGTCAGTACATCAGTAGGAAATGGAAGACAGGGAACCCTTGTTATACTTAAGTGACAGTCTTCAGGTTGAGTTTGTGTGATAAAACTATCTTTTCATTGAAGACAGAACAGATTCTCTTTATGCTGTATTCAAGTGTCGTGGTAAAGGAAAGTTCTAAACTTATGTCAGGATGGTTCTCTATCAAGCCCCAAATTGAACATTTGCCTCTTGGACAATAGCATATTAAGAACTTACCTTGAAATTAATACTTATGCTTCTCCTCACACCCACATTTGAAAAGGTTCTCTCTTATTATTTATGTGTGTGTGTGAACATGGTGAGGAATGCCATTATCTCCTTCAGAATGTACCAGTAGCTTAGGAAGCTCACACAGCCAGAAGGCTTTTTAGATAAAACACCATGCATATGGATTGATTTTGACTCTGAACCACGGTGCCTTAAACATTCTCCTACATGGAGGGGAGGACTTGGAAAGTGTCAGTTATTGGGGATATTT